CCGGGGCCAGCCTGACTGACATCTACACCATCGCTGGCCTTCTGACAGAGGCGGGGATAGGAGGCTCCAGGATCTGGAAACCACATAGAGAGTGGTGCCTGGGAACGCCACCCTGAAGCCCTAGAGGCCTGGGCTCTACTTACAGTTCAACCTTGGATACAAACTTCCTCACCCATGAATATAGTTGTTTCTCTCTTACAGCTTCATGAGAATTAATTGAAGTCGGATATGAAAAGCACTATATGCCAGTACCTGGCATATAGTAGGTGTTCAAAAAATGGTGGGTCTCTTATTTATAATTGGCCCTTGAGGATGATATGGGACCTTGAAGGAACGGGCTGAGCTCAGTGTGGGAGTTGTTAGGCACGTGCCCGTACTAAGGATTGTGCATGTCTGCAGTTGTCGGGGTCATCTTTTAGATGTCGTGAGAACCTCAGAGGCCTTTGCCTCTCGAGAGCAGTAAGTAGCAGCTGCTGCCATAAATCAGGTCAGAATTGTCTGTTGTTTAATCTCCCTTTCAGGCTTTATTCTTTGCCAATCACATTCGGCCTCTGGTACATTCTTTGCCTGGATTCAAAGGTACATTTAGTTTGCTTTCAGTTTGGAAGTATCAGTTGGGAGCTGATGACATGAGTCTGCCTACTTGTGTGGGGACCTAGGAGGAGCCAGGCGCTGCAGGGCAGGCGGCAAAGAGCTCGGAAGCGGTTGGCTGAGTACGTGTAGGTTTCTTAGGCCCCTGGGGCTTTGTGCTGAGTGGTTTCATTCTCACTCAGCACACATGGGTCATCACCCTATTCCAGGCCCAGTTTTTGTAGGCCTACAGCTCCTGTCCCAAGCTGCCCGATGACACTTTGATTTCTTTTATTTTTTAGAGAAGAGAGGGAAAGAAGTCAATATGTGAGAGACGCATCAACTGATTGCCTCTTGCATGCACCCCAACCAGGACTTGCCAGCAACCCAGTCATGTGGCCTGACTGGGAATTGAACCAGTGGCCTTTTGCTTTGCAGGACAATGCTCAACCAACTGAGCCACACGGGCAAGGGCAAAACTTTGATTTCTAACAATGTGGTCTGATGCTGGCCACGCTGTTTTTTGTACTTTAAGGCACACAGCAAAGTAGAATGTGATGTGAGGAAGGGCCTTGGGTGCAAAGGGCCTGGCACCATGTGCTGACAGCCACTGTGTTGGCAGTGATGGAGGTAGAGGTCAAGTGGGTAGAAGCCCTAGGGACGAGATTTCAGGGTCATTGGGAAGAGCTTTGTTAGTTCTGTGTAACAGGTGGAATTCAAGCGCTGCCTAGATCATCAGTCTATGAGATGGTCAGTACATAGGGTGCCAGGGGTGGTTGGTGGTCCTGGAAAAGAGGCAAACATCAGTGCCTGGGAAGACCCTCCGTGCCCAGCCTTCAGGGCAGGTTGGTCCTGTGAGCCTTCCTACAGCATGCTGACTCCATCTGTCCGAGCCAGAGGCTGTTATGAGCTTGCCGTGTTGTGAAGGCAATCAGGACATGAAGACAGTGTAGTGATCAGCCCCAGGTCAGAGGGCGTGTGGGAGCAGAGAAGAGGGGACTTGCTGACTGGGGGAGAAACCTTAATGTTGAGAACACAGCTCAGAGATGGTCCACACCTCACCTAAGGCCTTGCAGGAGTTGGCAGCCACTGCTTTCCCATGCAGGCCCAGCACAGCACTCCCTGGCCACTCACGTGGGTACCAAAGGACCAGAGGCCTGTGAACATTTAGGTCTAAGCTACGGCACCCAGCTGGGGAAAAGGCAGTTCCAGACTGTCCTTTCTCCTCGGGCCTTAGCACCTCCTCTCCAGCTGGCTGTTTTGGAAGGCAGTGCAGGAATCACTAACTCAAACAGGGGTCACAGACTCTGTACATGTCACTACCCCAGTAGCTCTTCGGCCCAAGACAGCCTAATCCGGGCTTTGAGCACCCTCAGGCCCAGGCAGGACAGGAGGCATCACCTGCACATCCGGCAGGCTGGCCTGATCATAGTGCTGTTGCCCATGACCAGGGTGTACCCTGGCTTTTCTGTGCCTCCCCACCTCCCCCAGGTAGAGGGGAGCATGCCCAGCTGAGGTCTGCCTTCTGTTCTGTGGCCGTAACTATCCCCTACAGTCTCTACAATGTACCAACAAAAGCAGTTTAGCATTCTTGTGGATTCCTTGTGGATTTAGCTGGAACCAGCAGTAATTGTTCATGTAGGAAATGGATGTGATTCCCCAAAATACCACCTGGGGGCACCCTGTGAAAGGTTTTTGAGTCCCGGGTACTCTGTCAAAGGCAGCCTTAAGGAGAAACAAGGTGCTGGAGGAGAAAAATGCCCATTTTCCCCCGACCTCTGTTGGTGAAGCTTGGGTAGGACCACTTCTCTGGCCTCTACCATGCTTCTGAGCACCATTGCCAGGCTGGCCCGCCTGCCCTCTCTGCCCCCTCCCCCACCTGTGGGAAAGCCGTTTCCCCCAAGGGGCTGGGCTCAGGGCCCAGGCCCTGTCAGCAGGCACAAAGCAAAGCTGATGGTTTAGTTAAATGTCTGAAAGGCTGGTAGAGTGTGCCATGCCCCCACCAGGGAACTTGTCTGCAGGAAGGCGCAGGGCCAGGTCTTACCAGGCAGAAGTCTGGGAGGAAGAAGGAAGGAAGCTCCTGCCCTAGAGCTGAGGGTCCCGGGCTGCTGCCCACCCATAGGAAGACCAGGAGAGCCCAGGACTAGCTGGGGGATTGTTCACTCTCAGTGCGCATGCCCTAAGCATGTCCTGAGCCCTGGGGCAGGGAGACACGCAGCCATTACTCTGGACACAGTGGGAAGCCACCAGAGGGTTTTAAGCTGGCGAGTGACACAGGAGGCCATCCGGGTCAAGGACACAAACCTGGCTGCTGAGCCCTGAGCCCAGGCCTCGCACACTGCAGCCTCAAGAACTCCCTGGGCATGATCTGGCAGTTCCAAACCCAAATCCTGTGTTTAAAAATGGAATCTGGACATCTTTAATCTGCCCCGCCTCTCTACCCTGCTGCCCTGCTTCTCCGTGTAGTGGCCTAGTTCTTTGATTTTATTCCCAGCAGCGTGTGGAATACCCAAGGGCAAGGTCAGAGTCTCTTTCATTATTTCCTACCAGTGTCCAGCCTGAGCAGGGAGTGCTCATAAATATCCAACAAATACATGTCCTAGCCCACTCAGGCCAGGAATAACCACGCCGCTTCCTCACTGGTCCTTCCGGGGTCACCCTCTGCAGGCCCTTCTCCACGCTGTAGCCCTAGCCAGTTGTCAGTCAACACATTTTTATACAGTTTTCACTATATGTCAGATTTCTAGGAAGTATGGGTTATTATAGGCTGAGTTATCCCCCCCCCCGGGAAAATTGAAATGTTGAAGTCCTGACCCCAGTACCTCAGTATATGATCACATTCACATGGGAGCTTTGCTGGGGTGATTAAAGTAAAAGCGGGTCATTGGGGTGGGCTCTAAACCAATACGACTGCTGTCCTAATAGGAGGAGAAAATCTGGACACAGACTCGTACAAAGGACAGGCGATGCGAAGACACCCACCCGCTACAGAGGCAGGCAGCCCTGGAGCAGATTTTCCCTCTGCCCCCAGAAGGACTAGCCCCACCAACACCTTGACCTCCAGCTTCTAACCTCCAGGACTGCATGCATTTCTGAAGCCAGCCTGTGGTCCTCTCTAGGGAAGTAACACAGGGATATGACAACAAAAGCCTTGGCCAGTGTCCTCAAGCTTATGTCCAGGTGAGAGAGACAGACAATACATTTTAAAATGTCAAGGACAAGAACAGGGTGGTGTGAGAGAGCAAGCCTGGGGCAAATCCTGGAGCAGAGGTGGGAAGACCTCTCTGTGCAGCCACATTGGGCCTGAGACCTGAGTGGGGGAAGCAGGTACCCATATGAGTTACTGGGGCTGGTGTGGGGAGTGGCAGGTGCCAGAGACTGCAAGGCAGAGGCCCTACAGGGGCACAGGACAAGGAGAAGAAGGTGGCAGTTGGAATGAAAAACAAGAGATCAGGGGCCAGTCACAGAAGGCCTTGAAGGCATGGCATTTGGGTTTTATTCTGAGCACAGTGAAGACCCTAATCACGGGGGTGGTACTGCCAGATTTACGTTTGACACCAGCACTCCGGCCCTCGTGTGGCATCCCAGAGGGCAAGCAGGGCAACTCCAATGGAAGCAGCTGCCGGGGCCAGGCAAGAGGTGAAAACAAATCTGACCGAGGCCTTTCTCCACTGACCTCCGCCCACCTGGGAAGCCCACCACTCCTGCCCCTACCATCCAGGGCCTCGGCTAGTGTGAGAGTCTGCCCACTTGGGCCACTACTGGCAGCTGGTGACTGTGTCCCTATCTTAGTAAGTCCTCCCTTCAAGACCTTGTGAGGCCTTGCTCAGGAGGTGTTCAATCAACATGGGGGAAGGACCAGACAGTGAAGAAAAGAGTGGACTAATCAAAAGGTTCTACCCTCGAGGGGCCTTTAGGCAGATAGTCACCTGCTTCACTGAGGCCCCAAGAGGAGAAATAACTTGCTTAAGGGGATGTACTACTTAGAGGTCAAGGGGGCACAGGTGAGGGCAACTCACTAGACCAACATAGATTCATGAGCATCCTTCTGAAACTCAGTTCTGACCACCTCACTGCTAGGTCCCACCTGCTGACTGGCCTCATGTCCCCAGCAGCAGTTTATCTAAATTAGGTTTGTGGACCCTATCATGGCCTGAATTGTATACCTGCCACTAAATCTACATGTCAAAGCCCTAAACCCCAGTATGACTTATTTGGAGGTAGAGCCTTCAAGGAGATACAAGGTTAAATGAGGTAGTAATTGTGGGGCCTTAATCCAGTATCACTGGTATCCTTATAAAAAGGGGAAGAGAGTGCATGCACATGCCCTGGCCAGGTAGCTCAGTTGTTTGGAGCATCATCCTGATGCACTAAGGTTGCGGGTTCGATCCCTGGTCAGGGTATATACAAGAATCAACCAATAAATGCATGAATACGTGGAACAACAAACTGATGTTTCTCTCTCTCTCAAATCAATAAGATTATTTTTTTTAAAAAAAGACTGTGTGCACAGAGGAAAGGCTACATGAGGAAACAATGAGAGGGCTGCCTCCTACAAGCCAGAAGGAAAGGCCTCACCAGAAACCAACCCTGCTGGCAACTTGATCTTGCATTCTAGCTGCCAAACTGTGAGAAAGTAAATTGTTGTTTAAGCCACCCAGTCCGCGGCAATCTGGTACGGCAGCCCTAGCAGACTGGCACAGAGCTTAGCTTCCCGAGACTGCCCAATGCTCTTGTAACAGGTGCAGGCACAGAAACCCATCTGATGCCCTGGAACAGAATCTCTGGGGGACAGAGCCCAAGAACCCATGTTTTGAACAGTCTCCCGATGCTCCCTATAGTGTCCCCTCCAGGAGCCCCCGAGGGCAGTCAAGACTGATTCCTGAGACTAACCCTCTGGCCACCGGCTCTGACCACCAGCCTCCCTCCCTGTGCATGGGAAGACTTCACATTTGGCCTCCAGGTTAACAGGCAAGCTCATTCTTCCAAGTGGCTTCATTTCCTCACTCTCCCCGAGTCCGCTGCAAGGCAAGCCAGCACAGGGCTGTGTGTGAGGTCTGGGCACCCAGAGGTGGGTCAGTCCTGAGCCCTGCCACGGAGGCACTGTTGGCCCATGGAGAGGCCACAGCTGCGGAGTGCCCTGACTTCGGGCAGATCCGGCGAGGGCCACAGGAAGGGGACCGAGTGACCTGAGGGTGTGGGCCAGTTGCAAGCACAGAATCCTGTAGACGTGGTTATTCGTTTGCTGTATCCCTGCCCAGCTGCAGTGGCAGCAAGTTGAGGGAGGTGCTCTGTCTTCCACATCCTTGTCCCCTCCACCCCACTGGACATAATGGGGCCCCATGATTGGTGGGACTGTGGTCCTGTGGCTGTTGCCAGCTTTACTAGGAACAGCCCTCCTAGGGGCTGGGGCAAAGTTGTTGTTGTTTTTTAAATTTAAAAAAATTATTTATAGACAGAGGGGAAGGGAGGGAGAAAGACAGGGAGAGAAACATCACTGTGATTGCCTCTCGTGCACCCCCTACTGGGGACCACAACCCAGGCATGTGTCCTGACTGGAAATTGAACCCACAACCCTTTGGTTCGCAGGCCTGCGCTCAACCCACTGAGCTACAGCAGGCAGGGTGGCTGTAGAAAAGTTCGAAAAACAAAAGACCCAACCTGGCTGAACAGATACATACTTCAGAGTTCTGAGTCCAGTGTTCCCACTGACCGGCTGTGTGGTGTGGCCTCAGACAATCACGCTGTCTCTGAGCTTCCTCAGCTGTGAAAAAAAGAGGGATGATAATGTCTCCTACACAGGCTTCTGTATAGAGTTAAATGAGGCAACCTCTGTACAGCTCCCACTGTCTGGCACTTAGTTGGCCTTTAGTAAAGGTCAACTCATAGGCTATTCCTTACATAACAGTGATTTGCCCTACCTGAAGGCATTGTAAGAGGACACGGGTAAAAAATTAAGTGTCATAGCCAACCTCTCCGTAATGACCCACAAGCACCCTGTCCAGCTAAACAGGCATTTACTGAGCACACGCCTTCAGGTGGTTGGAGCCCAGTGCCCAATGTTGGAACGGTGTGGAAGGGTTTATGGCCTCAGCGCTGAACTGTCAGCTCCAGCAGGGCAGGGACTTCTGGTTTGCCCATGTATTCCCAGCAGCTAGCCCAGGCTGAGCACAGAGTAGGTGCTCAGTAATTACTTGTTGAATGAATGGGGTGAATCATTCAATCAACAAATGACTGGCAAGTACAATCCAGTGGGACTCATATTTGAAGATCTTGAGCAAATCCCTTGATCTCTCTGGGCCGCTTTTCCCCCCCATCCGTGAAGGCGGAGGTGTGCAGCTCATCTCAAGGTCCTGCCCAGCAGGATCCGTAGAGTAGAGATAGCACTTACTGAGCATCACTGTGGACCGCCCACTGGTGTAGAGAACCCGAGGAGGTAATAGTATTTCGCCTTCACTTCATAGAAGAGGGAAGTGGCGCAGAGAGGCAGTGGACCCTCTCTCCTCCTGGAGAAGGGGGATTTAATTCAGTTTTAGAGAAACAACTGGGGCTCCGACTAAGCGACCCGAGGAGAAGAGGACCCCTGGTAGGAGGGGTCCCGTCCCAGGTGCGTGGCATTAGTAGCTCATGCTGGAGAGACCACCCCTGCTCCAAACTCTGCAACCCAACTCCGCCCCCTGGTGTCATGACAACAGCCACGCAAGCGCCTCCTGTTCCGGCGCCTGGCCGAAGCCGGCCCCTACGCCGGGCGGAAGCTGGCTGGGAGGGCTGGGTGGCGGGAGCTCGGATAGAACTTTTAAAGGACCTTCACTACACTGGCCTGTTCGCCCTAGGGGACTGCTGATTGTGAGGGTTGGCTGGCCCTGGGATTCAGTATCAAGGAGGCGGAGGAAAAGCAAGTCCGTGTGACTCCTCCCAGAGGTGACCAGGGAGAGAGGAGCTGTGTAAATACCCTCAGGGCAATAAATAAGGTGGCTGCCGCCCACCCGGGAGCAATATGGGGTAGAAGACTATGGAATTGTACCTTCTGGGTAATAAGAGGTAGACGGGGATGAGTAATCACTACCCCCCCCCCGCCCCCGACAGTGAAACGGAGGGTGGACTCCCAAAATGGTAATTGGGATAATAAGGAGGCCGGTGCTCCAGACTGCTTCACCACCCAAGGAGGGAGCAAGCCACACGGCAGATGAAGAGGGCTCACAGGTCCAGCTTGGAGCAGTCACCCTGTCCCTTCCCTTGCTTTCAGCGTTCTGCCATCTCCCTGCCCCATCGTCGGGTGCCCAGCCATGGCCAGACCACCGACCCCGGGCTCGGTGATCGTCCCAGACTGGCATGAAAGCACCGAGGGCAAGGAGTACCTGGCCTGCATCCTGCGCAAGAGCCGCCGGCGGGTGTTTGGTAAGTCCTCTCAACTCCCTACACCCCAAACCTGGCACCTGCTATTCCTTAGGGAGAACAGTGTCACCTGTCACTCCCTTGGGGGAGCGGAGAATCAGGGCAGCGAGGGCCCGCCACACTGCACTCTCCAGGCTTGAGGACTGGACTATCCGCGAGGCCTCCCCAAAATCTGCTAAGAGCTAATTCCATCATCAGAGCCAGGAACACGGAAACAGGCGGAACCCTGCCAGGAACTACTGTTACCAGAGAGGCTGTTGACTGAGCCCCCATCCTGTGCCAGGCCCTCTGCTGGGCACTTTGCACAGTAGACTCCCATTTCCCTTCTCACAGCATCTCTTACAGACTCATTAAGGCTCGTGAGCAGACACAAGCCTCTTTCATATCCTGCTGTCTCCAGGCTTAGCCACTCATGTTCCCTGGGATGAAGCCCAAGCCCCCAGGCCAGGCTGGGCGGGGCTGGTGAAGCAGCTAGCGGCAGCCGTGAGAGTCCAGCTCTGCCCAGGAAAAACAACGCCCCAAAAGGCCTAAAACCGGAGAATGGGAGGGCAACCCACAATTGAGGACTTTGAGGTCCTATGTCTACAGACGTATCACCATTTAGACTTGACTTTTGCAAGTTTTAAAACGAAAACATTCATAAAGCTCTTGCTGTATTAGCTCTAAGGAGTATATAGTAATTGAGAATACTTCTGCTGATATTTCTCTACTAAAGAAAGAATTATGAAACACCTTGCCTTTATCTGGGAGAAATCTAGAGCATTAATGACAAAGAAATCCAGAACACGTGATAATAATACCAATAAAAGCCACCTCATGCATCACACTTAAAAAATGGTGTCATCTGAAGCGGGCCTTGGCCCAGCTGGCAGAGCACAGGCATTCCCTGCGGAGCAGCGTGTCCAGGGGCGCTGCTGGTGTCCCGGCCTCGGTAACGAGCAGAGAGGGCCACAGATGGCTGGCACTGAAAAAGCCCTTAGAGATGAGGTTGTGCCCCCAGGGTCTGATTGGGCAAGACCAGGTGGGACAACCTGACCCCACAGGGCTCCCTCCTTGCCCCAGGGCTACTGGAGCGACCAGTGCTGCCCCCAGCCGTGGCCATTGACACGGCCAGCTATAAGATCTTCGTGTCTGGGAAGAGTGGTGTGGGCAAGACGGCACTGGTGGCCAAGCTAGCTGGCCTGGAGGTGCCCGTGGTACACCATGAGACCATCGGTGAGTCCCTCCTTGGAGGCCTTCCCCAGGGTGGAGGGAGACTGTCCCTGGACCACAGGCCCAGGGTTTGAACCAGCCCCACCATTGACCCTACAGGCTTGGGAAGTCGAGTGCCCTCTCTGAGCTGATTTTGGCTCCTCCATCCAACAGGGATGGCAGTACCAATCCCGTGGGGTTGTTGGGAGGCTGGTGCTAGAGATGGTGGTGGTAACATGCCTAGCATGGAGCTGGTGCAAAATAGGTGCTCAGGAAACATCTTTGCTTGTTTCCTTCCCCTGGGTGTTGATTGGGCATCACGTTGCAACATCCTCCTGTATCCCGGGACCTTTGGGTCCCCTTGTACATGTGAGTGAAGCTTCACTGTCCTGGCTGGGGCTCGGGCTGTATCTCCCTGCTAGGCCAGTGGCTCCTCCAGGGCAGGTCAGGTTCCCTCGTCAGACTGAGAATGCTCCTGGGTCAGGGACTCTGCCTCCCCACCACCCCCCCAGCAGACTCCGACCCCCCAGGGCAGGGACGCAGTCTTCCTGTTTCTTCCCGGGGCCCCCAACCTCTCTCCACCTCTGCCTCTCCTATGCTAAGTGGCTGACCCCGGCCTCCCCAGGCATCCAGACCACTGTGGTATTCTGGCCGGCCAAGCTGCAGGTCAGTGACCGGGTCATCATGTTCCGCTTTGAGTTCTGGGACTGTGGCGAGTCTGCACTGAAAAAATTCGATCACATGCTGCCGGTGAGCAGGAGGGGGGCCTGGGTGGGTCCCGGAGGGGCTGCTTGTCTGGGGTGGGCCTCTGAGTCCAGGTGTCGGAGCCCAGCCTGCCGAGTTTGCAGGAGCCAGAATTGGGCATAAATGGGCTGAGGGTACTGCCCCAGCGGGGCAAGCTCTGAGCTTGCAGTGGGGACTGGATCCCAGCCTGAGCTCTGCCCTGGGACCAGCCACTCACTCCTCTGGGCCTCAGTTTCCCAGTCTGTAAAAGTTGGGCCCTGCAGCTGATGGGAGGGTTCTGGTCCCATGATTACTGCCTTGGATTGGCCTCTCCATCCCCAGGCTTGTAAGGAGAAAACAGATGCTTTCCTATTCCTGTTCTCTTTCACCGACCGTGCCTCCTTCGAAGACCTCCCTGGACAGCTGACCCGAGTTGCAGGCGAGGCCCCTGGTGTTGTCAGGATGGTCATTGGCTCTAAGTATCCTTTGGGTGGCCCCTAGGATGGTCAGGGGCCACACTTGGCAAGACATGGACCCTGCCCCTGCCCCGCCATGGGATCCAGTCCCACAGGCTTTATTTTCAAGACTGCAGCTGGACCTCCTCCAGACCCTGGGTCTGGGGCTCCAGGGAGGAGGGAGAAGGCTGGGTTTGATGGGGTGGTTAGCAGAGACGCCTGACCTTGACCCTCCTCCAGATTTGACCAGTACATGCACACAGACGTGCCTGAGCGCGACATCACGGCCTTCAGGCAGGCCTGGGAGCTGCCCCTCCTACGGGTGAAGAGTGTGCCGGGGCGGCGGCTGGCTGATGGGCGCACGCTGGATGGGCGGGCCGGGCTGGCCGATATTGCCCACGTGCTTAATAGCCTGGCAGAGCAGCTGTGGCACCAGGACCAGGTGGCAGCTGGCCTGCTCCCTAACCCCCCAGAAGACACACCCAGCTGACATGAGTGGGCACATGTGGTCCCTCCTCCCAGGTCTCAGGTGACCCGGAGCAGGAGACAGGATCCAGTCCTAGGGCTGGGACAGGGATAGTGATCTCCTGAGGATTGGCCGGGGAGGCTGGTGGCCTGTAAAGACTCTGCCCCAGCAGCACTTTGCAGAATCCGTGGCAGTGCGGTGGGTACATGGGCTTCCCAGGGTGGTGGTCGGAGGCCCTCTGCCTTCTCCCAGGGCCCTGGGGTTCCAGGCTCTGGAAACTGAGGAATCAAATAGGCAGGGCCCCCGGACTGTAGCATCTCCACCAACCTGCTGTCCCTCCCCTTCTGTAGCAGATGGGGAGGGTGACAGGGGAGAAGGTGTGGCTCAGGTGAGCCATGGACCTGAAGTGACTTCAACTGAGAGCTCGTATTACAGGGTGGGGAAAAAATAGGTTTACAGTTGTTTGTGCGGAAAACGATACAATAACTAGTAAATAATAATATAAGAATAAACTGTTTCACATATTCACAACTGTCAGAGGTTGAACTCTCTCGAAGTTTTATTCATGTTTACATCTTACCTCAGGTGGAGGGGACAGTGGCCGTGGGGGGTCTCTGCTGCATGCACTCATTCAGAGACCCGGGCTCTGAGATCTTCAGCATGTGGCTTCCCAGTTTTCCTGGGGCACCGCCATCCAGTGAGCAGACCAACGCGACACGTGCAAGTGAGAGGTCACCCAGGAGGTTTCTGTGGGCCTGGCCTGGGGCAGTGTGCCTCATTCTGCCCACATTCCTTTGGCCAACACTTTGTCACATGGTCACATGGAGCTGCTAGGGAGACTGGGAAATGTAGTCCACCTGTGTGTCCAGGAGGCGAGCCCCTTGCACTGCAGTGCCTTCTTGATCTTGAGGCTGTCAGGCCAGCCTTAGGACAGGGGCCCTGGGGGAATCAGAGAGCATCACTGAGCCAGGTGGGGGTCAGGGAGTGAGTGGGCCTGCTGGCAGCTCTGCCCTGAGGGGAGCCAGCAAGGACAGGAGCAGGAAGGTGGGTGAACTTGCTGGGTTTTGTGTCTCACCTCTGCCCCACCGGCGAGAGACACTGGTAATGCAAGCTGAAGTGAGGGGTGGGGAGGAGGGTGCCGACGAAAGGGGCCTTTACACTTTCTGACACTTTCTGACGACCCCTTGTGATACCTGGCTCCATAGACTGCCCCCTGGGTAAGGCCTGGCCTGAGTGACCCCGCAGGGCAGGGCCCGGGGGGCCTAGGTATAGTGACCCCCAAAGCCAGCTGGCCCTTGGAGCCCCCTCTTGAGAAGTCAACCTTGGCAGCTCTACACCCACATGCACACGTGGTCATGTGTGAGTGTGCACACACACCCCAGCACTGTCCTCGGAGGCTCCCCCCTCCTGATCCCCACAAGGGAATCCTACGTGCCCCCCGCTCACGCTTGGGAGCACACTGCCTGTGCGGCACTTGCCATGTCTGTCTCCCTAGGGCACTGCTTGTCAACCCTTCTGGGACTCAAAGGACTGACCAGCATCTTCTTACTGCCAAATCAGTTCATAGCTGAGGCCTGATCTTGCCCTAGAGGAGGAATGTCGGGGCAGGACCCCAAGACTCACAGTGGCACAGCCAGTAGACCCCAGACCTTCCCACGGTGGCCTCTGGCTCTGCTTGCAGACAGTAGCATTCAGCCTGGTCCCCTCTGTTCCTAGCTCCTGTTGACCTTGGCCCACCAGGGCAGCAGCCAACTGTGGGAGTGGGACCCAGGGAGGTGGCCCCTGGGCCTGACTATGACCCTCCAGCTACTCCACATCCCAGCCGGTTATCTCTGGGCTTGAAGCTCAACCAGAAAGGAAGCTTCTGGATCCTTGGGCACCAGCTCTGCTAAGAGCCAGAAGGTGGCGCTGGAGAAATAACCCAGGTCTCCCCAACAACAAGGCAGGCCCGTCTTATCCTTGGTGGCACTGCTCCAGCCAGAGACTCACCCATCACCCACCTTCACTTTGCCAGCTCCCTGGGGAAGAACAGAGCAGGGGAGAAAATGGACCTGGGCTTTAGAGTCTGGCCATGCACCATCCCAGTCTGGTCACCATGGCATATACAATATCTACTGCACAGCAGTCAGTTAGCAGTCATTGAGTAAATTTATGTGTTACACATCTGTTCATCGCCCCCCATCTTCATGTGCACCGTCCACGCTTTCATCTGCCCCCCACCTAGCCATTGTCCATCTGTCCACCAGTCTTCCCGTACACCTCCATGTGTGCTCGTTTGTGGAGCTCTGCCAGTTATTTTCCTGTCTAGTTACCCACCCATCCATCGTCTATCCAGGCCTCCACCCACAGACGAATGTGCATCCATTTGTTTTTAGCTTCTCATCTGCCCGCCCACCTATGTGTCCGTCCACCCAGCTATCCGTCCCACCCATCCACGAGTTCCTGGCCAGGCCCTGAGGGAGAAGGCCCCACCCACAGAAACCAAAGTGAATCAGCCCACGTTCCCGCACTTCCAGAGCTCCCTGGGCAAGCAGGGTAAGGGGCAGGCTTTCCACCCCAGGGCCATGACTCCCAGCTTCTCGGGCCCTGGGATAAACATTTGTCATCCCTCTGAGAGGTGAGCTCACATCAGAGCTTGCTGTCCCAGCTCTGTAGATGGCCCAGAACCAAGTGACAGGTCCCAAGGAGCCCTCCTTCCCACCCCACGTCTGCCTTTGCGGCCTACTCACTGGCTCTGTAGCCATTCTCATCATAGTGAGGCCGCTTTGGGCCTTTCTTGTAGAAGGACAGTCCCCTCCAGGGTCACTGGGACCCTGAGGCCTGCCTTCCAGCTCTGGCAGAGTGGCCTGCAAGTCCCCAGCTTTGTCTGGGCATTTTTGTCATTTACTGTGACATCGTATGCACTGCAGTGCTTCGTATGGGCAACGCTTGCTCATGGCCCAAGTGACCTGGGGGGACAGAGCTTGGGGTCACTGTTCCAGGTTCCAGGCCCAAAGTGGGGACCCTTAGGTGATGGCTGTCACTCTGCCTAGGCTGGCAACATTGCAAACATCAGCAGCGCTTTACTCAACCTGCTACTGACCCTCCTCTCGGGTCAGGTCTGCATCTCGCTGGCTGAGCAGCTCACCAGGAGAGGTGAGTGAGGGCAGGGGGACGCAGTGGTGTCCTGCCATCAGTTGGGAATTAAGAGTCCCAAGGAATGTCTACCCACACCTTAGAGCCTGTAGCTCCTGCCTTGGTGTCACTAGCCTGCTCAGCCATTCACTAGTGAGGCTGTCCAGGGACACATGGTTGGCATTAGGGGAAGATGGCTTGTGCCAGCCCCCATAAACATAGAACTCGGACCAGCTCTGCCCTTGGCCCAGAGATGCATAGAATCCAGACTCTCCATGGAGATGCCTTCACATTCAAAGTCATCATCTTCCAGTTTGTCAATTTCTGCTCCTCTCCCTTCTGTGCGGCATTCTTCAAGGGCAGGTGAGGGCCCCCTGCCTTCTGAAGTTGTTGCCTCCCAAGGACGTGGCCCAGCAGGAGAGCAGTAGCATCATTGAGCCTCCAGACTTGTCTCTACCAAGGTCTTGCTGTTGACCTTGAAAGTGGACCTTGATTTCCTTGGGCTTCAGTTTTCTCAGCCAGAACAGACCAACACCTCATAGGGCAAATGTGAAACTCTAACACCTGCATTCATTTACTCATTTTTCCCTGGGGGCCCAGGTCTGTCTCACCTACCTCCTGGTGGTGCAGTTTGGGGTCATTGCCATCCCTGTGGCAACCTTTCGCTGAGCACCCTGGACTGGATGCTGGGACAGGAATAAACCAGAGCTTTTCATTCCCTCAGGAAGCTTCTGTTTTTTAACGACTGGTCAGGAGTCCTGAAGGGCTAGGCTCCCAGGGGGAGGCGTTACCCTGTAATTGCCCTGCATTTGATGGGAATGGAAGGGGGAATCACCCAAAGAACTTGTCCCCACAAGCATGACACCCTCTTCCTGGGCCTTCCTTGGCTGCTCAGGGGTTGAGCAGTACATATGGGCCCTGGTCCCACATGCCCCTGGGAACGCAGCCCTCTGGGGCCAGTGGGGACGGGGCAGGTCCTGTCACCAGCATTGGCTCTCAGTGCAGGGGAGGGGCATAGAGGGCAGAGGGGTTCAGCTGTGGCCTGGCTCCGCCGCAGGAGGGCACATACCCGCAGGTGTGTGGGACACCTTGGTTACTAAGCATGTAGAATGGGGATGTGAATGCCCCCTGGGTGGCTCTTAGGGGTTGCAGGGGTCGTCCCACCCTCAGGTCTGGCAGGGGCAGGATCTGCCTGTGGGGCTCCACAGAGCAGGGGCCCAGCTCCGTGCTCTGACGGGGAGGTGGGGGCCTCCCCAGACAGTCTCTAGGCCTGGAGTGCGGTGCCCTGTGTCTGCCACCCACGGTGTGACCCAGCAGCTGCCTCCTCGAGCTCACTTAGCATCTCTTCATCATCACGGTGGGCAAACAGCTGGTCAGTGGCCTGGAGGAGTTCGTCGTGCCGTGGGTACAGGAGGGGTAGGGGCACCAGGTTGGGCCTAGTCAGGCCGAGGGGAGGGCTTACATGGGAATGAAGCACAGACTCCCGCACTGGGGGTCAGGAGAAGGAGAATGTGGGCTAGTTCTATCTCCTGTAAAGCTCTGTGTCTTTGCTTCTCTCTGAGTGAAGGGGGGGCAATAGGGACCATAATACCCCTGTGGGAGTGGGTTTGGACCCAGGTGGATGTGAGTTAGAAGACTGTTCCTTGAAGACCCTTCAGCCCTGTAAGCTTTCCCCAGCACCTTCGCCTTGGACTACCACGTCTCCCGGACCAGTAGGAACAGCGCCACCAGCCGCGCTGCGAGGTCAGCTTCAATGCTGGCGCCTGCATCTCCAGCCTACCCTGACCAGAGCAACCACAGGCCCAGCAGTTGGGATATCCACCAGATGAGGGGTGGGAGCTGGCGGGGAGGGGGCCGGACCTTTCTGAGAGGGGAGGGCACGGGTGGACCGGGTGGGGCGGGACCCAGCTGGGAAGGCAGGAAGCTGGGTCTGGAGGAGCGGGGCCAGGAGGGGCAGAAGTGCGCGGAGTGGAATCGAGAGCTTCGCAGGATCCGGCGCCCGCCGCAGCCCAGGGGCAAAGCCTTCCGCGCAGGGGAACCTCCCTCTCTTCTGCAGGAAGCTGCTGGCTGTCCGTCTGGGCTTCATCATCACTTTCGAGGTAGGCTCAAGTTCGGGCTCTGCCGCCGGCTGGTTGTAAATAGGGATATATTACAGAATAGGATCTATTTCATAGTATCATCACGAGGATTCGATGTCCATCACTTGCCTAGCACATCGTAAGTTCTCAGTGATTTAGTCTCACCACTACAACTACTACCACCTCTTGGCAGCAGACTTGGGGGTAGGGAGGAAGCCTGTTCTCTCCAGCTTTGCTCTAGATCCCTCTTTTCTAGCCCTGCCTCTAACAGGGTCCCAGTGTGAAGGGGTTCTAATGATATGTCTGTGTTTGGGGGCAAATGACAACTTATTTATGCTTCGGTTTCTTCACTGGTAAAACAGGTATGGAGCTGTATTTACCTTCTAGAGTTGTGAGGATTCAATGAATTAATACTCGGACAGCCCTCAGAATAGTGCCTTGCGTTTAGTAAGCGCTCTATAAATTAAGATTGTTAAGGCAATCATTCTCTCTTTGGTCCCCTTTCTCCCCAGCACGTGGTATTCTTCTTCCTGCGCTTCGTTGCTTGGCTTGTGCCCAACGTGCCAGCCGACCTGGCTACCAAGATAAAGCGCGACCGCTACCTGGCTAAGCAGGCGCTAGCGGGCTACCGCAAGGGCGCCGCCTGCAGTCAGAGGGCCTGGGGACCCTGGCCCCGCCCCTGGCCCCGCCCCCTCCCTCCCTGGGCCTTAGCTCAACTTTCATCCCTCGGGTTCTGGTTTGTCCCAGCCGGAGGGAGGATTGGCCCGATTACCTCTAATTATCTCCTCGCCCAGCCCTTCGCCAAACTCCGCCCACGCCCCTCTTAAACTTAGATACTGGCTCGGGTCTACTCTGCTCTGCGGGCCAGCCTCCTCAGCCTGACAAAGTCATGATTTCCGTTCGCTGCAGCAGAAGCTCTGTCCCCGGAACCCTGGATGCAGGAGCGGGTGAGGCAGGACTGCCCTTCCAGGACCCTAGTTCCCCAAGAATGCTCCTTCGATTATGGTTCTCTGCTTCTAGCTAGGGGTCTGGGCAGTACCTTGGCCAGCGTCCTCAAGGTCGCCCCAGAGCCAGAATGAGAGGGTCAGAGTTCTCTGATGACCCCTAGTCCTGCCCTGGGTGCAATGTTGACAATACACCTCTCTCTGCGTCTGCACTTGCTGCCTCTCCCTGGACACCTGGTCCCCATTCCCTCTGTGTAGTGTCTCCTCATTATGTGATGATGCTCTGTGGGGGGTGGGCCAGGAGTATATGAGGGAGTGGAGGCCAGGAATCACTTTGAGCTGAATGGTCACCAGTTGGCAGGGGGAGTTCACTGGGGCCTGGGCCCTGGACGCCCTGCCCCGTATGTTCATCAAGGCCCGTCATGTACGGCTGAAAATAAGGATTTAGTCAGGTCAGCTGAGACCCCTCCCGGTAGGACTTTCACACTCTTCGCCAGACCCTCTCCAAAGCCTGGCGAGGCAGTGCAGGGCAGTGATTAAGGACACTTGTTGGTGGTGGAACCTCACAGACCTCCCACTGAATATCACTTCTGACTCTTATCAGCTGTGTGACCTTGCGCAAGTTATTTAATTCCTGAAACCTCAATTTCATGGTCTGTGAGATAGGTGCTTCTTAGAGCTGATGAGAGGTTTCAGTGGGGTAGTGCCCATCACAACCTGTGCGAGCCTCGTATCCTCACCGGAAAAACAGGAGCCGTCCCAGCATCCAGAGCAGCGCCTGGCACACAGGGAGTGTACAATAAGAGTTATTAGCAACATGAATATTAGTATTTAGGTACATATTCACGTTCATGCTAAGTGCCTGGCAATTACCACGTGCTCAAATAAATGGCAGGTGGCTCTAGGGAGAAGGCAGCTTCCCCTTTCACAGGTGTGGGAAGACTGCATGCCAAGCACAGAGTAGGCCCTCCTTCCCTGATGCTGGTTCTGCTTGGGCTATTTCAGTTGGTTTGTTGAGGGCTCATTGAGTGTGGGCTAGAGTCTGGGAAGGCTTCCTGGTGGAGGAGGCCATTAGAGGTGTTGAGATGTGTCATTCATGAAGAGCGGTGATGCTGGCAGGACTGGCCAGGATGATGCCAGATGCACCACATCACTTGCCTTCCTGATTTCAGTTTGTCCCCCAGGCGTAGAGACCAGGGACCCTGCTTGGTAGGTGCTGGAGTGGGCTCAGAGAGGGTCAGCCCACTGAGGAGTTCTCAAGGTCCCTGAAGAGTCCAAGGTTTGAGAGCTTCCCTGAGAAGCTCCCCCAGTGCTCTCCTGCCCCAAGGAAACTCCTGATCACATCTCACATTTGGGAAGCTCTAGAAGAGGGTGTCCTGTCTGCTGGGAAGAAAAGTAGTACCTCCCCGTCTTTAGGACTCGGTCTGGGGTCCTTCAGATCCTCTCCTGGGCATAGGACTCCCATTGTTCCAGCCCCCCTCTTGTACCCCAGACTGGCCAAACCGGTTCTGGGGAAGGGGGGCGGGGAGCAGGCACGTTGAGACAGCCGCCCGCCCGCCTGCCTGCCTGCAAGGTTCCCTCCGCCTTCACCTCCCCCCTTCCCTGCCCCACACAATACCCAGGAGCTTGCATTGCCCGGGCTCAGGGGCCATGCTGACATCGCCCCCTGAGGACCTGGCTGCAACCCCAGAGCCCCCAGGGTGGCCCGGAGCCCTGGACCGTGCCGGAGGCTGGACGGAGCTCCCCAGCTGAGGTAGGGCCCCCACGGCGGCCAGCAGCCCCGTCCTCCTCCCGCCAGTCTTCCAGACTGAGTCCTTTGTGCTGCCTGACTGGCCTCTGATCCTGGACCGCACTCACTTAGGGCCTCCTGGGGCTCCACAGCCTGCTTGGCCTGGATCCCCTTTTCCAGCCATGACCTTCCGCTTGGCTTTGTCCCTTTAGGGGCAAAGGGATCTTAGCAGGGTCCCTACTCTGAGCAACAGGGCAAGGGGCACCACGGAAGGGGTAGGGAAAACTGGGCACAGGAGGCCAGAGGTGCTTTGCCTGGACCATGGTGGTGTCCAGGGACCCACTCTGCCAGCCTTGCAAGGGGATCCATTGTCCTGTGATTAGCAGTTCCCACTGGATGGGCCCTTGGCCCCTGCCCATCCTTCTCAGCTTGCAGAGATGCTCTTGATGACACAGGTTTCCTGGAAGGGGCAGCCAGAAGGGGCCTTAGGGGCTGCTTTACAGATGGGGACACTGAGGCCCAGGGGCAGACTATGACTTGACTAAAGTGAGTCACACCAGCCAGGGCATAAGGCTGCACAGCTGTCCATGTCCACACAGGGCCTTGAACTTTGGCAGGGTTTTTCCCTGTGGGTTCCAGAACGACTCTGGCCTCATGGGCACTGGAGTGTCCTGTGGTCATGTCTTGGGCAGGTAATGTCCCTGCTCCCTTGGCCAGGTGGGCCACATCTCCGGAAGGCCACAGGGCAGGCAGCACAGCTAGCTGGGTCATTCCCTGGCTTGGACCCTGGCTTCTCCCCTAGAGACCTGCCTCCAAACCCCATCTCCCCTCAGAAAGCTTTCCACCACCACCACCACCCCATATTCACCCAGTCTTCTTCCCCCCAAAGCTTTAGGAGGGTTATTCCTGCCCCAAGGGCTCCATGTTTTGCTCATTTATCTCTGCAACTGACAGTGAGGTGAGGGTTCCTTCCTGCCCTTCAGGCACTTCCAGAGCCCAAGTGGAGAAAATCTCCCAGAATACAAGGGAGCAGGGGCATGTGCGTATTCTTGCATGTGTGTGCCCACAGAAGCAAGTGGGACCGCTGTTGAGGACTTCCGGTTCCTGGAGAGAAGACCTGTCCAGCAGAGAGTGCTCGGTCTCATGTCACCTGCTAGATGCTTCTGCAAAGGAGGGTGTGTCTCGCCCTCGTGGCCTCAGGTTTTCCATCTGTGTGATAGCCCAACCATCTCCAGAACTGGAGAAAGACTAATAATACTCAGAAGGATGACCCTTAATGACAGAGCTCCCCCTATGGTATCCTGAATTCTCATTTGTGTTTTGAAGCTGGCATGACTATCCTATCTACCAGATGAGGAAACTGAGATACTTACTTAGATGGATAGAGGTTTAAGGTACAAGCTAAAGCTGCCCCTGTGGGGGACAGTAACTGTCCCTTAGGAGCAGCATGCCCCCGACCCAGGCAGGGGATGAAGAGAGCAGGGGAAGAGTTGAGGGGCTGTGCAGAGAAAGTGGGGCCCAGTCACAGGCCCAGCTGTCCCCACTGGGTCCTCTACTCTCTCCTCCCTACCTCTCTCCCTGGGTCACTGACACTGTCACTGTTTCTCTCAGGCCAAAGCTTTCTCCTTGTGTACTAGGTATTTCAGCCAGAATGGTTAGCTATTACTTCCTCCAAGAAGCCTTCCCGGAATGCTCAGGTTGAGTCAAGCCCAGCACCCTGCTCTTGTGGTTCCTCTGGTTCTGCTCTTGCCAACCTACATTGTAACCGTTTCATTCTTGGCTTCCCCACTGGACTGGCAACCCCGCAGGGCATGAAATGTTCGTCCATCTGTCTCCCTGGGTTTTTCTGGGCTTCACCCTTGTCTCTGAGTGTCTGGTCTGTCTGAAATTCTCCGCGTCTCTTCCTGCCTCCATCTCGGTGTCTCTGAATGTCCCAGAGTCTGTGATTTCTGGTTTTCAGCACTTTGGGTCTCGGTTTCTAAGCTGCTGTCTAAAGGGTCGCTGTCTTGGTCTCTGTCTCCTGGGCCTTCTAGCCCTGCCAGGCTGGGCACTGCCCTTTTGGCCTGAGGGGCCTCTGGGGTTGGGGGGGGGTTCCTTGCTGCCCCGCCTGCCCACCGCGAGGCCAGTCTAGGGTAGGCCCCCGCCCAGCCGCTGCCTGCTCCCTCCCTCCCTACCGCCTGCCTCACCACAGGGTTTGATGAATCAAACTCTTTGTCTGGGTGGGATCTCCCCCAGCCAGCTGGGCAGAGAGAGGGCTTCCCCTGCCGGAGCAGCCGAACATCGGCAGCAGCGCGCCTCGTCTGGAGAGGTGAGGGGCTGTAGGAGGGCAGGCGGCGGAGGGCCACCCAGCAAGAGCCGTGGGAGCTTGGACCCCTGGATCGTGAGGCCTGTCCGGAGGCTTCAGCAGCCTCCCCGGGGTGACTGCCTAGGGCAGAGAGGATCCCTTCAGCCTGGGCTGGGAGCTGGCGCAGGGAAGAAATCCTCCTCCCCCCAAGTTGGGGGGCTGGGACAACGCCCTGTCCTCCTGGGAGGGCGCAGCCTGATCTGCGTGGTGGCACTCCTGGCAGTCTGTGACCCTCCCAGCCAGCTTGGCATGGGTGTGGGCACCACTCAGCACTGAAGGCTGCTACTCGGGGCACAGGAAGGGAGGTTGGGTAACACCAAGGCCGGGACTTCTGGGCCTGGATGTTTGTGTCTGCATCCTGGTGAGTGAGCGTGAATGGGACAGGAGTGTGAGAAAGCTTGAGTGGATGTGTAAATAACTGCTGGGTCAGTGTGTGTGAAAATATGTAGTTGTGTGTGTGGTGTGTGAGCCTGTGAGTGTGAATGTCTGAGTGTACCTGTGGGAGTGTGTATGTCAGCATGTATACCCGGGAGGAAGTGTGTGTGGATGCCTGTGAAACGTGTGGGTTTGTGTGACAGTGCGCCTGTCTGTGCATCTGATGGTGGGTCAGCGAGAGAGAATGTACCAGGTGGTTTAAGGCTGGATTGCCTGGGCTCAAACCCTGGTTCCACCAGTCACCAAATAACCTCTGCGCCACACTTTCTTCACCTACAGAGTGGGGCTAAAAATAGCATCAACTCAGGGTTGCAGTGAGGATTAAATGAGATAATATGCATAAAGCACTTGGCCTGTCATTCATTAAATGCCAAGTAAGTATCAGCTATTCCTGTGTAATTAGGCATGTGGGTGTGCTTGGACAGGTGTGTGCATACGTCTACATGAGGTTCTGTCCAGGCCTCCAGGACATGGTCGCTTACTGGCCAGCCCTGCTGTCCTGTGTCTGGCTTTGAAACCTTCTCCCCTGCAGGCCCAGGTGAGGGGCAGAGCAAAAGAGGAATGGACTGTGGGCCGCCTGCCACCCTCCAGTCCCACCTGGCTGGGCCACCTGGTACTGCCCGCCACCCAGTAGCTGTATGCCAGCAGGAGAGTCTATCCTTTGCGGAGTTGCCCACCCTGCAGCCCCCAAGCCCTGTGTGTCTGGATCTCTTTCCTGTCACCCCAGAGGAGCTGCAGGCTCCTGGCAGCCGCTGGTCCCTGGGGACCCCTGCTCCTCTCCAAGGGCTGCTATGGCCACCGTCCCCAGGAGTCCCAGACACCGAGACTGCTACCAGTGGGGGGATGCGGCCCAGCAGGGCTGGCAGCTGGCCACACTGTCCTAGTGCCCAGCCCCCAGCTCTGGAGGGACCCTGGAGTCCCCAGCACCCCCAGCCACAGCGCCGGGCCAGCCATGGCTCAGAGAAGAAGTCAGCCTGTGAGTTACTCTGGGTGAGGGGGTGGTGGCCCAGGGAACAAATAGGGGGCAGGTTGGGTGGCTTTTTAGGACTCCTGAGCCCCAGAGTTCCCCAAATAGGCAGGACAAGTGGATTTTATGACAGAGAACTTGGAGCTCAGGCAAGATGAGTGACTTGTCTGAGGTCACACAGCACATGAGTGGCTGTCCTGGTCTCCCTGGCCCTTTGCCCAGACTCCCCCCACTGCATTCAGGCACTGCACTCTCTCCACCCCTCTTGTCAAATTCGTTTCTCCAGGGAGCAGATATTGGCCAAAACGTTGCCCTTTCCCTTGGGCATCTTGCTCAGATGCTCCGGGCCACAGGGCAGCAGCAGAGGGGGCATTGGGGAGAGACCCCAGTGGATGCCAGCCTGTGTCCTCACCCCACCTGCAGGGCGCAAGATGCGGGTGTACCAGCGTGAAGAGGCCCACGCCGTCTTCCTTGAGCCTGGCCAGGTGGCAGAGCAGTCCCTGGGCACAGAGGAGCCTAGGTCACTAGAGCTGTCTGGGCCCAGCCGAGTGGGCCTCGAGGGGCCTGAGCGGAGGCGCTTTTCTGCCTCTGAGTTGATGACCCGGCTGCACTCTTCCCTGCGCCTGGGGCGGAATTCAGCAGCCAGGACACTGACCCAAGGGTCAGGCACTGGAGCACCTCGGGAAGGTACCTGCTCCTCCCCTTGGCCCTGAGAGCAGCCCATGAACCAGATGCAGGGTGGAGCAAGGCTCACTCACTGGACACCTGAGACTGGGTGCTGGTCAGCTGGAGTGTGGTGCCTGGGTGTCCAGGGCCACTCTCTTTGGGCCACCTACCCTCCGGTCTCTCCCTCTCCAGGGAAAGCATCTGGAAGGGAGTCGCACAGCGTAGAGATGAAGGCAGACGTCGTGGCAATGGCAGCCCCTGTGGACCCGGGCACGGGCCATGGCAGCTGGTCTGAGTCCAGGTACCATCTCCCACTCCAGGGTCAGGTGTGAGGCGGGGCGCAGGCAAAGAGCCCTGACTTTCTCTGTTTCCTAGGCTGGAATCGCAGGAAGAGCCGGCTCTGGGTTCCAGAAGTGCCAGCGAGCGACGACAGTCACGGTTCCTCCTTAACTGTACGCGGGAGGGGGTCTTGGAGGTAGAGGCTAGGGGTTTGGGGAATCTGGGAAACGGGTTCCAAGAATTGAGAAGCAGGGATCGTGTGAGAGGGGGAGAACTGAATTTCAGTATCCAGCACAGTGGCTAGCATGCAGCTGGTGCTCAAGCAATGTTTTGGGGATAAATGAGTGAGTGAATGAATGAATGAATTCGCTGTGTGCGGCTATCTGAACCTTCAGAAAGACTTGTTGAATGAGGCGGGCTCTTGGGGGAGCCCAGGAGGCGCCGGACCACGGCTGGCGGGCTCCCCACAGCCCTCCCCTGCCCTTCTCCCCTCCCAGCCGTCCTCTACCAGGAATACAGCGACGTGGCCAGTGCCCGCGAACTGTGGCGGCAGCAGCGCGAGGAGGAGGGCCCCGGGGAGGAGGCCGAGGGCGCGGAGGAGGGGCCCGGGCCACCGCGCGCCAACCTCTCCCCGAGCAGCTCCTTCCGGGCGCAGCGCTCCGCGCGAGGCTCCACCTTCTCCCTGTGGCAAGACATCCCCGATGTGCGAGGGAGCGGCGTCCTGGCCACGCTGAGCCTGCGCGACTGCAAACTGCAGGAGGTGCGGGCGGGGACTTGGAGGGGTGGGGCGGGGCGGGGCCAGCAGAGCTGCCAGTGGTGGGAAGTGGTCCTAAGGCCCAGAGGGGGTGGGGCAACAGTAGGAGCCGGGACAGGAGTACCCGGTCCCGAGATTTAGCAGGACAGCAAACTGTAGAAGGCGGGGAACTCGGGGCCACAGGAGGAAGGTACCAATGGAAAGGTAAATCCGAAGGTGGTTGCTAGGACCTGACAAAGCGGAGCTGGCTGCAAGCGAAGAAGGAGGAGCCTTGGAGCCAAAGGCCAGAGGAGAAGCTGAGAGAGGGGGCGGGGTGAGGGAAGGGTCCAACGGGGCAAGGCCTAGGATAGGGCAGGGACAAGAGGAGGGGCGGGTTCAGGCTGGGCTAGAGGAGGAGGGAATTCGCTGAAAGCTGGGACCGGGAAGCTTTAGAGCCTATAGAGTAGCCAAGAGCTGGGGCAGAGTCTTGGAGGGCGGGGCCACTGGATGACTGGCAGGGCTCTGAACGCTGGGCTAGGGGCTTAATCCAAGGCTTCGGCTTGGTTTGAATTTGCACGCGACAGGAGATGGGTCCCGAACACCACCAGGCACCAGATCAGGGATGGCGCTAGAGATGGGGTCGGGAACACGGGGTGTGGCTGTGTCTAAGGAGGTGATGTCCACGGCTTGGGGTGGGAGTTCTTCGAGAAGGGGTTGTCCTGGTGGTCTGGTCCGGCAGATTCAACCCCGCATCTGCCCTTGCTCAGGCCAAGTTTGAGCTGATCACGTCCGAGGCCTCATACATCCACAGCCTATCGGTGGCCGTGGACCACTTCTTAGGCTCAGCTGAGCTGAGTGAGTGTCTGGGGGCGCAGGACAAACAGTGGTTGTTCTCCAAACTGCCTGAGGTCAAGAGCACCAGCGAGAGGTGAGGGACTGGCCTGGCCTGGCTGGGGGCGGGGACCAAGCCTGCGATTGGCCAGGCTCCCAGGTTTCTGGTCTCGCCCTGGCCCTGACCCATTGCTGACCCCTCAGGTTCCTGCAGGACCTGGAGCAGCGACTAGAGGCAAATGTACTGCGCTTCAGTGTATGCGACATTGTACTGCACCACTGCCCAGCCTTCCGTCGTGTCTACCTGCCCTACGTTACCAACCAGGCCTACCAGGAGCGCACCTACCAGCGCCTGCTGTAGGGCTGGGGACTCTGAAAGGGGGGATGATAAAGGGATTCTCAGGTGGGATTAGGTGCAGAGGACTGGGTGAGGAAGGGTGACCTGAGAGGGAGGGGTCCCTGAAAAGGGATCTGTGGCCAGAATGCAGGAAGGTCATGCTGAGAAAGCACCTGAAGAACCAATGGGGTAGCTGGCTCATGAATCCCAGGAGTTCAGGCCCAACTGTGACCCCAGATCCCTCCCCATTTTCCAGCTTGGAGAACCCCAAGTTCCCTGGCATCCTGGCTCGATTAGAAGAGTCTCCCGTGTGCCAACGTCTGCCCCTTACCTCCTTCCTCATCCTGCCATTTCAGAGGATCACCCGCCTCAAGATGCTGGTGGAGGTACCTACAGGGCAGGCACCGGGCTGCAGTGAGGGCTGGTGAAGGAGAGGCTGCTGGGCCTTCCACAGCCCTGTTTGGGCACCCACGGGTGGGCAGGATCATGGGAGGTGGTCATAGCCTGCCTCATTGAACTCACCCACCTTCTAGAACATCCTGAAGCGGACAGCACAGGGCTCTGAAGATGAAGACATGGCCACCAAGGCCTTCAATGCACTCAAGGAGGTGAGCTTGGCAGGGCAGGAGCTGTCTGGCTCCCAGGGGCCTCCCCGGAGCCTCAGTGAATCTCTAAAACAGCCCCAGCCTTCGGAACCTCTGGTCCCCAGGTGGGGGTCTGAGGTTGGACTCTAGGACCAGGGTTTGGTGGCTGCAAGTGACCCACCTATGGCCTCCCCAGCTGGTGCAAGAATGCAATGCCAGCGTGCAGTCCATGAAGAGGACAGAGGAGCTCATCCACCTGAGCAAGAAGATCCATTTTGAGGGCAAGGTGTGTGCCCACAGCAGGCTGGACAGGCACACAAAGGGCAGCTCTTGTCCCCTCCCATCCCTGGCCTGTGCCCTCTGCCCTGCTGCTCTGGGCCTGACCCGTTCCCTGCCTTGCCTCCTCCACCTTCCCAGATCTTCCCACTGATCTCTCAGGCCCGCTGGCTGGTGCGGCACGGGGAGCTGGTGGAGCTGGCACCACTGCCTGCCGCCCCGCCAGCCAAACTGAAGCTGTCCAGCAAGGCGGTCTACCTGCACCTCTTCAACGACTGCTTGCTTCTCTCCCGGCGGAAGGAGTGAGTCGGGGGAGGGTGTGAGGGAAGGTTGACTGGAGCCAGGCTCCCTTCTGCTTCACTCATTGGCTCACAACCAGTCCATCTCTGGGCCTGGAAACCCTGGCCAGCTCCAGACAGTATTGCCAGGGCACCCTGAGCCCGGGAGGCACTGGCAGAAAAGACAGATTCAAGGCAACTTCATCTTTCAGAATCAAGAGCCGGACTATGTGCAGAGGAATTGAAGCTCTGAGCTGAAGTCAGTTAGAGCAGAGATTAAAGAGCGCAGTCCTGGAGTCCCAGGTCTGCCCTGAGTCATAATGATAGGAGCCAACTTTTACTGTGCGCCTATTCCATGCCAGGCACGTTGTGTGGGCTATTCCCTTTTGTCCTCTAAGTGTTTCCCTGGGAAGTAGTTGCCCTTGTTATCCTTGATATCTTGGAGCTGGTAAATGCAGGAGTCAGGAGGAAGCCAGGTCCGTGTGATGCCAGATCTCAGCTCTTAACAACTGTACTGCCCTGGCTTCCACCCGTAAAATAGAGGCAACTATGTAGGGAGAGTCACATGATAACAATACACGAAAAGAACTTAGCGTGCACTTGGCACATAGTAAACACTCCACTCAGTGTTACACTGTGGTTATTATAAGTTTGGGATGATGGAGAAGACTTCCTGAATGAGGTCAGCCTTAAGGCTGGATGGGATCAAGAATGGACATCTTCCGCTATGGGAAGAGTTCATTTCTGATTTATTTCTTTGTTCAGTGCAGCGTCCCTAAAACCCTGTTCTGTACTGGGCCCTCTCATAGGTGCTGGGGACACAGAGGTAAATGGGACTTGTTCTCTGCTCACAGGAGTCTCAGACCAGGGAAAACACATCCCGACAAGCACCTGGTCAGGGTTTTGATGGAAGGGTGTACTCATACTGTAGCACACCCCAGTGTGGGGTGAGAATCAGTAAAGCGCCACGAAGGAAGGGACATTTGAGGTGGGTTCTGAAGGATAAGTAGGAGCTTTCCTGGTAGGGAAGGAGTTTGGGAGAATATGGTAAAGTCACAGGAAGGTGTAAGAGCAGAGTGTGTGTGGTAGGGAGTGAAGCCTATGTGCCCAGATGTGCAGAGGGGAAGTTGGAGTGTCAAAAGTCAGGGTAGAGAGGTTGGACTTTCCGAGGGCAGTAGGAAACATGGAGGATGAAGCAGAGGCGTGGCGTTTTACTCTTGGCCAATGTGGAGGATGGACGGGAGGGGGAGACCGAATCTCTCACAATTGCTCAGGTGAGAGTAGATGCTGCAGAACGGACAGGTGGATTCTGGGGACAATAAGTAGATGGATGGGATGTAGTTGCTGGTGTGGGGTCAGGGGAGAGGGAGGAGAAGCAAGGATGATGACCGAGTTCCCTCTCAGGAGGGGTCTTTCACTGGAATGGGGAGCAGCGAAGGGATCTGGTTTGGGGTGGGAGATACCACATTCTGTTTAGATGAGCTGAGACAAAGGAACCTATGGAACATCCCTAAATCGGCCCCCCCCCACACCGCCCCACAACCCACCCATCCTTCCTGCAAGTGGCTACTGGACCAGAGTGAGCAGAACAAGAGACAAAGTCCCACTTCCAGACCAGTTAGTGGGTCAGGCACTAAACAGAGTGGAGGTCTCATGGAAGTTTCTGCCCGTTGGCTCTTAGAATGGGCTCAGGGCAGAGGCTCAAGGAGAAGGTATTAGCACGCCAGCCCTCAGGGGCTGGTCTGCTCACCTTCCACTTGTTAGTAACCTGGCAGGAACGGAGCTCCCAATTCCTTTAGTGGACTTTGCTGGCTGCCAGGGAGGCAGTGCTCTGCGCAGCCAAGATTCCTTGGGGAAGGTCCTAGAGGGGCAGGTGACCCCCCTCTTTCTTTAATAGAAACTTGGCTTGTCCTGAGGGTGAGGCCTGGCTGACCTCGCCTCCCTGGTCCTTCAGGCTGGGGAAGTTTGCCGTTTTTGTCCATGCCAAGATGGCCGAGCTGCAGGTGAAGGACCTGAGCCTAAAGCCCCAAGGCATCCCTGGCCACGTGTTCCTCCTTCAGCTTCTCCACGGGCAGCACGCGAAGCACCAGTTCCTGCTGAGGGCGCAGACGGAGTAAGTGGTCCTGGCCATGGGGAGAGAGGACCCCACCTCAGGCAGGCACTGGCCTTTTTTCTCTGGTTTAAGGGCATGAACAGAGCTGGCACCCAGGGGGTTCTGGGCCTGCTCTGTTCTTTTGATCGAGCTGGGTGGGGCACAGGGCTCTGGGAAGAAGGCTGGGAGGTGTGTCCTGGGGCAGGGAAGACCTGACCTGGGTTCCAGGTCTGGACATCATACCTCATTCTCCCAACCATGTTGCCACCCCAGCCCTGGGAAAAGCAGTTTGCATGTTGTGATAACTCAGCCTCCCTTCCTAGAAGTGAGAAGCAGCGATGGATCTCTGCCATGAGCCCCTCCAGCCCCCAGGAGGACAAGGAGGTCATCAGCGAGGGGGAAGGTAGCAGCCTGCCACTCTCCTCCCTCCAAGGCCCACATCCCCTGGGCTCGGTACCTTGTTGCTTTCCCCCTTCCCTCCAATCCTGGGCACCATGTGGCCAGCGAGGCTACCAAGGACAGCGATCCAGTGGCCTAGGGTAGTTGGGTGGCTCTGCGGAACCTTGAAGGACAGGGAGAATTTACAGAGGACAGGCCGACCCCCGTGTGCACAGGCAGTACCTGGGAGATGGCAAGGCCTTTTATATCCTCCTGTTTCCTCCCCACAGAAGCCTGTTTTACAAGTTAGAAAGCAGAGCCTCAGTAGGTAAAGTGACTTGTCTAAGTTTACCCAATACTACCAGCCCACCCGGTATGGTAGAGAGAGCTGAGAGCCTGGACTGGAATAGATTCTCTGGCATGAGCCCTGCAGGAATCCTGTGTGGGCTGGTGGGTGAGCTTCCCATTCCAAAGAGGTGGTCAGGGAAGGGCCTGGAAGGATGAGGAGGGGCAGCCATGAAAAGACCTGGGGCAGAGCGCTCCTGGTACGAGGAACAGCCAGTGCAAAGGCCCTGAGGCAGGAGGGAGCTTGGAGTGTTGGAGGTGACCAGTGTGGCTGAGCTTCACGAGCGAAGGGGAGAGGGAAAGAAGAGGGGAGGAGATGAGGTTAGCCGGGGGCAACGCAAGACTGCACAGGGCTTTGTAGGCTGCTGGGAGGACTTAGGACTTTATTCTAAGAGGAGTAGGAAGCCCCGGAGGGTGATACATGGGGGGAGTGATGTGGCTTGAATCCCAATCGAGAACAATGGCCTGAGGGGAGTACCAGAGTAGCATTAGGGAGCATATCATGGGGCCATTACCCTTCGGGGGGGGTGGTTCTGGGAGCAGCTGGGCATTGGCCTGGAGGTCAGGAGCAAGGTGTCGGGCTGAGCTGGGAGGAGAGAGCCCTGGGTGCAGAAACAGTAACTGAAGCTGGGAGAGACTGAATTCACCTCGGGCTTGTGTTTAGGGTAAGAGAGGAGAAGAGTGGCCAGGGAGGGCTAGGCAGGGGCAGAGGAAAAGAAGCAGCAGCGAGCACCCTCCCACCCCCTTACTTCCTCCAACTGCCCCTCCCTGCCCACCCCATCATGCTCTGGGACTCCCTCAGTCTCTCTTGGGCTGTCAGACCGCCCCCAGGTTCAGTGTGTCAGGACATACAAGGCACTGCAGCCAGACGAGCTGACCTTGGAGAAGACTGACATCCTGGCAGTGAGGACCCGGACCAGTGACGGTGAGAGGGGCCCTCTGGGAAGGGCTCCCTGATGGGGCTGGCATGAGTAGGAGGTAGCTAGATGGCTGAGACATCACAGGAAAAGGTTACGCAAGCATTGATCAACCAGCCACAGCATGCTGGAATGAAGTTAGACAAGAGGAGGAACTTCCTACTTGTAAAGATGTAGGATTAACAGTGACTGATGGGGAGAGTGGGAAATACCCTTCTTTGAGGATGTTAGGCAAAACAGGCCAGAAGTTCCTCTATGAGACTCCGAGAAGCAGGGTCCTTCTTGGAGCTGGGAGACGCTCAGATGACGTCACCTTGGCCCCAGTGGTGCAGATGAGGTTTGCATCAGGGCCTAGGGGACTTTTTTTGCAGACCTGGCCCCGGTGTGGCTCTGATGTCACTGATGTTGCTCCCGACCTGTGTGCCCCTAGGCTGGCTGGAGGGGGTCCGCCTGGCAGATGGCGAGAAGGGGTGGGTGCCCCAGGCCTACGTGGAAGAGATCAGCAGCCTCAGTGCCCGCCTCCGAAACCTTCGGGAGAATAAGCGGATCACCAGTGCCACCAGCAAACTCGGGGAGCCTCCTGTGTGATGGACAGCCATGGCCTGGGACACCAGTTCCACGCCTGGCTCCTGGACAGGTCTGGAGGGGGCCTATAGTGTCTCTGTGCCCCAAGCCACTGCTGCTGGGACTTCTGCCCTGTGGCCGGGCATTGAGAGTACAGCTGTCCTCACGCTTCTTGGTGTCCACTCTCCAGGGCTGGGGGTGGGGTGGCATAGGGTCCACAACAGGTGACCTGATATCCGGCAAAGACTGAGGCCCTCTGCCTTCCATGTCCTTGACGCTGCCTGACTCCTGGTCCCTTTACCAGGGGTCTGGCGAGGAAAGGCTCTGGTACTAATGGGTCCTGCAGCTGTATGTATCGGGGTCTTCTGGCCAGAGCCTGCGTGGGCCCTGGTTACTACTTGTCTGTAAATAAACTCCCATCATGTCTTTGCTTGGAGTCTGTGAGCCGTCTGATGCTGCGCCCACCCAGCCCCATCTCCCCAGCTAAAGACCAGGAGGGCCTTGGGTTGCCTCCCATGAGGGATTTGCTCTTCTATAGAGCTCCCCTCTCAACCAGGGGAGGCTGGGGAGGGACTGTGCGTCAACTGCTTTGGGCTGCTAACAAAATAGCACATTCAAATAGGCTGAAATATTAAAGAAACTATATTAGTTCTTGTACTTGTTTCTTACAGCTTCTCTAACAAATCACTGCAAACTAGATGATGTAAACGGCAGCAGTTTGTTCTCTCACAGTTCTGGAGGCCGGCAGTCTCTGGTATCAGTGGGTCAAAACCCTGGTGCCTGGACGTCCGGGCTCCATGCCGCAGCGGAGATATTCTCAAGGGGAGATCTGTTCCTTGCCTAGTTCAGCTTCCGGCGGCTGCCAGCCCCTAGACTGGCGGTCTCTGTCCCTGAGACCACTGCCTTCCCACAGCATCTGTCAGGTCTTCCTCTGCTTCCCTCTTATCAGGCTACCTGTGATTGCATTTGGGGCCCACCCTGATTCTCACTTCTTAACATAAATTCATCTTATAGTCTGGCTGGTACAGCTCAGTGGATTGAGCACCGGCCTGCCAACTGAAGTGTCGCTGGTTCAATTCATGATCAGGGCACAAGCCTGGGTTGTGGGTTAGGTCCCTGGTTGGGGGCGTGTGAGAGGCAACTGATCAATGTATCTCATACATCAGTGTTTCTCCTCCTTCCCATCTCTCTAAAAATAAGTAAATAAAATCTTTGGGGAAAAATCCATCTTATAATTCTTAACTTAAATCTCATTTACAAAGCTCCACCCCCTTTTTTTTTTTTGTCATGTGAGATGACATTCAGAGATTCCAGGCATTAGAATGTAGATGTATTTTGGGAGACCTTTTCTCATTGTACCACAGTTCTCATGACAGGAGTATAGAGTAGGGTGGGGTTCAGGCAAGGCTTGATCCAGTGGCTCACTGCTGTCTCTGAGGGCTCAGCCCTTTACATTTCTCAGCTCTGTCGTTCTTGGTGTCAACTGCATCCTAAGGCTCCCGGGGGCGTCTTCATTCACATCCAGCATAGAAGAAGAGAACTGGGTTTGTGTCCACATTCTCAGAGTCCTGGGACACTCTCTGATAGGACCAGCTTGGGTCACCTCTGGGCTGATCATGGAGGCCAGGGCGTGGTGTGTACTGATGGACCTAAGTCCAGGCTGTGTGCTCTATCCCTGGAGCCAGGCTGGGGAAATGTGTGCCCCGAAACCCTATGGACCCCCTCCAAAGGAATCGGTGGCAGTTGCAAAGGAAGGGTAAATAAATGCTGGGGAGGCCAATTCATTGGCATCCACATCACCCAAAAGGAGTAGGAGGACCAGGGAATAGAGAACACTTGTGAGGACGGGAGCATCCTTCAGCCCTCAGGAAATCGTGGGGCAGAGCAGCCATGAGTCGGGGGTGGTCCCAGAGGGTGGATGTGGGCAAGTGGGGAGAAGGCCCTGCCCACAGGAGGCCTTTGAGGGTGACTTTCTAACGTGCAGGGGACGGTGCAGGGAGTGGACTGTGCCGGCTAAGGAGGCGGGCACGTTCTGAATTTAAATTCTGGCTCAGATGTTTATACCTGTGTGATTTTTTAAAAATAAAGCTTTTAGTTTCAGAAACGTGGCAGAGGCTGTACAGAGAGCTCCATGCGGGCTCTGAGTCCTCCCTGTTGTCCACGCCCCGTGTCGCCTGGCACGGCTGTCAGAGCCGAGGAACCCACACGGGCACGTGACTGTTCCCCGAAGCACAGACGGGGTCTGATTTCACCAGCTGTTCTGCCCACGGCCCTTTTCTGTCCCAGGGCCCACTGCGGGACGACCCACGTTGCACTCAGTCGTCACGTCTCCTCTGTCTCCTCTGGTCCGTGACCGTCCCAGGCATCCCTTATTTTTCATGACCTTGACCATTTTGAGGAGTTCTAGTTGGTGCTTTGTTAGACTGTCCCTCTATTTGGGGTTTCTCTGATGTTTTCAACTGGCTAGACAGGAATTATGGGTTTGGGGCAAGAATTCCACAGAGGCCAAGTGCCTTTCTCATCACGTGAGCTCAGGAGGCAGGTGACTTATTCCCAGTGGTGTGTGCCAGGCTTTGTTCTGTGGAGGTAAGCGGAGCCCGCACCAAAAAGTGTGTGAGGTGGGGTGGGAGGCAGGGCCCACCTCCCGGAGGGTGTATCTACCCCCAATATATGGGATTCTCCTGTCCAGGGAGATTTGTCCCTCCTCCCCCGCCCCCAACTTATTTAACCAACCATTTTTTTCTATCAGCATGGACCCATGTATTCATTTATCTCTCTTATCCTTTGGATTGGAATTCAGTCCTAAGGTACTTATTTTGTTGTGTAAGTTGTTCCGCTCTGGGCCATTGGGAGCTCTTTCAGATTAGCTCCTGTTGGTTGGACATCCTCCCATCCTTTTGTTTTCCGAGCTTTTCCTTACTTTCTGGCACTGGAAGATGCTCCGAGCTCCCCTTGTATTCCCCTGCCTCAGTGGTAGAATCCACCATTTCTGAGGCGTGTGGTTCCTTTCACTGGTGAGTGGTGTTTAGGAGCCAAATTCTGGGTGCTCACTGCTATTGAGGTGTCATTGCTGCTCGTCCCTCCTACTGAATAGAGGTAAAAAGACTGTGTGTGTGTATGTGTGCATGTGTGCATGCGTGTGATTTTAAGGCAAGACAGTGGCTCTAGTCCTCAGTTAGCATTTCTGAAAAACGGGGATGGTGAAAACCATACCTGCTTCATGGAACTACTGTGAACTAAACTATGGAAGGTTGACATAGTACGTGGCCCAAAAGAAGTTAAAAAAAAAAAAAAGGTGGCTTGTCTTGAGCCAGAGCTGCATAGCCAGAACATGGGGGCCCCTGCGAGGGGGTGAGGCCTCTGTCTCTTGAGGATTTAAGGAACTCAGGAAGTGCAAGAATGGGATTCCTGCACTGAGTGAAGGCCGACAGGTCTCTGCCCTTCCAGTGCCGAGTCTGCAGGGTGAGAGTCCAGGCTGGCGAAGTACAGGAAACGCGTTCAGCCTGCCCTGGAGTATCTGCATGCTGGCTGGCACTTGTGTCTGGGCTAGATTCTCGGGGGCTGGGATGGGGGTTTGGGAGGTCCGCTGGCTTTGAGGACATGCTGCCAGGCAGGGAGACCAGGGCTGCACAAGGTTCACCAGGCCCACATCCCTCATTCCCCACCTGCCCAGGCAGTAGATCCAAGCAAGACAGGTTGGAAAAGCCCCTATCTCAGTGGTACCTGCCTCTGCCTAGTAGGCCCTGCCCTGGTGTTTGGCCTTGGCCAGGGACCCAGGGCCCTGTCTTTGCTTGCTGCAGGAGGAGGAGGGAGGTGGGGTAGTACTGGGAAGGAGGGGAGATGGCAGGGTGGGGGGGGGGCATGTCTGTGGCCGGGATTCTGGCCCCCGAGGCCGTCTGCTCTGCGTCTCCAAACCACAGAATGTCGGGAGCCCATCTCCATGGCTTCTGGCAACCCCGTCCCCACCCAGGGCCAACCCGCTTCTCTGCAGTCCCCCTACCTGAACCTATTGTTGAGTTTATCCTGAATAGAAGTTATAAAAACTCCTGTTCAGCTGCTCATTTTCAGGGCACACTGAGGTTTCAGAGTGAACCAGGAGCGCCAGCAGGCACTCACCTCTGGGTGGCCAGCATGGGGCCCCAGCATGGAGGCAGTCACTTGTTCCTGTGCTGGTTTCCAGAGCAGGGACTCCCAGGCGGCCCTGGGAGGCGGCGAAGATGTGGGGTGGCAGGAACTCTCCTGCACTGTTGGCAGGGTGTCCGCTGGCACAACTGCTTTGGAAAACAGCGTGACCGCATCTGCCAAAGCTGCGCATGTGCTCACACTCTGACCCAGCGATTCCACTTCTCTCTCTGGGTGTAGACCCAACAGAAATGCTCAGGGATGTGTCTCAAAAGACGCAAACTAGAATGTTCTTAGCAGCACTGTGCATTCATTGCCAGAGAACTAGAAACCACCCAAATGCAGGTCAACGAGAAAATGGATCGGCTGTGGTCTGTTTACACAGGGGAGCGCTACCCGGTGATGAGAATAGACCATCCACAATTACATGTGAGGGCTTGGGCAAGTCTAAACATAATGGGAGAGAGCGAGACATGACAGAGGATGTCTTAGGTGATTATCTTTGCATAAAGCACCAAAGCAGGCAAATGAATTGATGGCTAGAGGTCAGAATGAGGTGCCCTGAGGTCACAGTGGGGTCCCCGAAGCAGGATTACTAACCAGTGTGCTCTTCACAGAGACCGTTCACTTTGGGACAACCTGTGGAGCAGCACACTGAAGGTCTGTACCTTTGTGCATTGGAGTCACACTTTAACAGAACCTCCTCCCCTCAGTACCCTGGTGGGAGAAGCCCTGTGGCTGTGGGTGCGCAAGTAAGGGAGAAGTCAGCTCTCACAGCAGGTCAGGGCGGGCTTCCTGGGGGCAGTGCCCCCCCAACTACATCCCGAGAGCTGAACTGCAGGTGGTGGGTCAGGGACATGACCAAGCTGGACCCAGGATCTGTCCCCTGGGAACCAGCGACTTGAGAAGTGAGGAAGAGAGGAGTCAGTGGCTTGCCTCCTTGACCTGAGCTTGGTGTTGGCTTTGACCTGAGCGTGGCATTGGCCTGCTCCTGCTCTGCTGCCATGTGGGAGGGCCCAAAGACCCTTCTTGCTCCGATAATTTTTCTGGCTTTTGGTGGAGGTACCTTCTGATCCCAACAGAGCTAAGCTGTGAGCCTGAACTTTCCTCACTCAGGGATCTGTGTGACTGGAAAGTGGCCCTTTCTCTGGTAGAGGAAGTTTGGTAAGCAAGGCCTTTGGAAGGTTGAAGTTCGTCAAGGGGGCGTGAGTGGCAGGACCTAGACTTGGACTTGACATTCTGCAAGGCCCTGCTGTGGGCCAGGGACTGCCAGGCCCTGTGTCGGGCGCAAGTCCAGGGATCCTCATGGCAGCC